CCTCCGCTACCACATTCACAAGAGCCTCCTGATGAAGACTGATGCCGTCCCCTACGTGCGGCTGGGGACGGCCTCCAGGGGCCTCCAGCCTGTGCCGGTGAGGAGGTGATCGGCTTATAGGGGGGCACCGGCACACCCCTCTGTACCAGAGGAGCGGCTTCTACGGCAAGGGTCCCTCCATCAGGCAGTTCGTGGACATCTCGCTGCCGTCCTGCGTGGCAGACCACTTTCGGGGTCACGGCCTGGAGTTTGACCAAGCGCATCTCTACAGGGATGTGCCGGATGCCATTCGAGACGTGCACGTGAGGGGCCTCGTGTGCCAGTGGACTGAACGGGATACGGAGAAGTACATCCTGGGAGGGGACCAGACCTTCGCTGGCCTGAGCCGCCTGGTGGCACGTGGCAAACAGCTGCTCCTCATCCCCAGCAGCCCTTCCAGCGTCGTGGACAAGCGGACGAGGCACACGGTGGGTCCCGACTGGCGTCAGCTCTTCCACGCCGTCACCGTCCAGGCGGACAAACCCAGCTTCCTCACCGACCGCGCAAGCCTTTCCGACAACTCGGTGAGAAGGGCTCCCTGCCCTGGGGCCGCATCCCCCGCCTGAGAAGGGAAAACCTACCGGCAGGGACACCTGCAGGACCGCCTGCGCCTGACCGAGCGGCGGGGACCCCGCGTGCTCTACCCCCGAGACCACCTGTACAGGGCCCCGGCGGACTCCTGCCGCGGCACGGCTGGCGACCGGGTGCCATCACCCCCGAGCTGCAGCGCGAGATCCGCACCATCTACACGGAGCGGGCTGCGGGGACCTGCCAGGAGGCCGAGTCGGGCAGGTGCCGGCGCCTGGGTGGAGGAGCGGCAGGACCGAGGCCGTCCCAGGGCCCTGTTCAACGCTCCCTTTGGGAGCACCTGCGGCACCTTCCACACCCCCGCTGACTTCTCCCGCGCCTGTGCGCTTCTCTGACCTCTACACCGCCTCCCTCCGCTGTGCGCTCAACTACCCGGTACACCGCACCTTTACCTGTACCCACGCCGCCCGCCCCTGCAGCGTGAGGCGCCGCTCTGGATGGACCAGCTCTGCACCGGCTGCATGAACACGCCCTTTCTTGGCGGCAAGGCCCACATCCGCTGAGGGCACCTTTATTGTCCACAGCAGGTCCCAACCCCTCCTGTCCCACCCACACTGGGCTCCAGTCCAGGGTGGGCAATAAAAGTGGTCTCCCTCTTGAAAAAAAAAATGAAAAGAAAGAAAGAAAGAAAGAAAGAAAGAAAGAAAGAAAGAAAGAAAGAAAGAAAGAAAGAAAGAAAGAAAGAAAGAAAAAGAAAGAAGAAAGAGAGAGAAAGAGAAGAAAGAAAGAAAGAAAGAAAGAAAGAAAGAAAGAAAGAAAGAAACCACTTTATAATTATTAAAGGATCCATATGAACTGTGCTAGTTCATTCTAAGATTTTTATTTCTTTTTTAAAAAGATTTTATTTATTTATTTGATGGGCGAGAGGCAGGAGAGAATCATTTTTTAAAAATTTATTTATTTTCCATTTAAAAATTTAAATTCAATTCGTTAATATATAATGTATTATTGGTTTCGGAAGTAGACTTCAGTGATTCATCAGTCTCATATAACGCCCAGTGCTCATTACATCACCTGCCCTCCTTAATGTCCATCATTACAGGCCAGTTACCCTGTCGCCTCACTCTCCTCCCCTTCAGCAGCCCTCAATTTATTTTCTATGATTAAGAGTCTCATGGTTTGCCTCCTCTGATTTCATCTTGTTTCATTTTTCCTCTTTCCCTATAATCCTGTTTTGTTTCTTAAATTCCACATATGAGTGAAATCATATAATTGTCTTTCTCTGTTTGACTTATTTCTCTTAGCGTAATATATTCTAGTTCCATCCACATCATTGCAAATGGCATGATTTCATTTTTTGATGGCTGAGTAGTATTCCGTTGTATATATGCATGTACATACCACATCTTTATCCATTCATTTATCAATGAACATCTGGGCTCTTTCCATAGTTTGGCTATTGTGGACATTCCTGCAATAAACATTGGGGGGCAGGTGCCCCTTCAGATCACTACATTTGTATTTATTTTAGAGAGAGAGAGAATCTCAAGGAGACTGCTGAGTGTGGAGCCCGACATGGACTTGATCTCATTATTGTGAAATCATGACCTGAGCCAAAAACCAAGAGTCAGATACTTAACTGACAGTGCCTCCCAGGTGCTCCCTGAGAGAGAGAATCTTAAGCAGACTTCATGCCCAGCATGGAGCCTGATACAGGGCTTGATCCACCACCCTGAGAACATGACCTGAGCCGAAATCAAGAGTTTGACATTTGACCGACTGAGCCACCCAAGCACCCCTGAAGATTTTTATTTCTAATTCATTATCGTCACATAATTTGTGAGTTACCAAATCTGTGTGACGTATATTTTATAAGATTATTGTGAAGATTAAATGAAGTACCACTACTAATAAAAACATATCTGTCGAACATCTACTTCATATTGCATATGGAGATGTGTTACATATATTAAGTAAATTCTCAAAAAAAGCATTGTGAAATATGCATTATTATTCCCACTTACAGATGAGGAAGTGGGGGCTCTGGGAGGTGGAAAAAGTGGCCAAGTTTCCACAACCTTTCGAGATATGGGGCTAGGAAGCATGTAAAAGGGCTCTAGCTAGGATGTACATAAGCTGGAACTTGCTATAAAAAATATAAGGTGTCTAATTACAAAGTGTCTCTGAAAGGATAACTTCTATTAATATCACTGCATATTCTTCCCTCCTTGGTGTCCATATTGTCCTCTTCTCTGGCATAATGGATCAAACCAACTTAGACCCAGAAGCCAGAAACTCAACTGCTCTCAACCACAGATCATCACATGTGCAAGTTGCTTTTCTTCCCTTCCTCATTTATCCTTTCTCAGTTTCCATATTAGTAATTTGTATGTGGACTGCATCGACCCTCTTCTCAGGATGTCACGAAGACTCGCTGTTTAGGAAGCTTGCAATGATCCACTTTTCAAATCACCCAAATATTCCAAAGAAGTTGTTGTGAGTTTTGCCCTTCGGGGTGGTATGTAGGACCAATGTCATGGCAAAGGCAGAGAAAGAGCCTAGGCATCTGCTTTTCTGCCTCCGTGTCTACCACCCCATGATATCCTGGCAACGTGGTATTTATGTATGAATTTTTTTTTCTTAGATATAGTTGCAGGATATAAACTTGATTCAGGTTGCAAAATAGTAACTGATACACACACACATACACACACATACACACACACACACAATCTCCAAACTGTCACCTTCTTTAACTAACTGATTAACTTTTAAGTTGCCTAAGAATAGACAGATCTATGCAAATTAGAGATGGATTTCAAAATAATCCATTTTTATTTACCTATTTTTTAAAGTAAGCTTTACACCCAATGTGGGGTTTGAACTCATTACCTTGAGACCAAAAGTTGCATGCTCTACCAACTGAGCCAGCCAGGTGCCCCCAATCCATTTTTTATTTATTGCTTTATAGGTGGTGCAATCTCAGTAGAAAATTCTTTTTAAAAATATTTTATTTATTTATTCATGAGAGACACAGAGACACACACAGAGAGAGAGAGAGACAGAAGGTGTGTGTGTGTGAGAGAGAGAGAGAGAGGCAGAGACACGGGCAGAGGGAGAAGCAGGCTCCATGCAGGGAGCCCAATGTGGGACTCCATCCCGGGACTCCAGGATCACGCCCTGGGCCGAAGGCAGGCACCCCACCGCTGAACCACCCAGGGGCCCCCTCAGTAGAAAATTCTAAGGGTTCTGGTGTCATTTGTTCACTGAACAAATATTTATTGGATGGTCAGTAGGTGCCAAGCACGATGCCATGAGCTTTAGTGAGTGCACCAGACAAGATGAAGCCCACCTCCGCTTTCATGGAGTTTAAATCCAGCAGACGAGGTCAACGTGGGAGCAACAGTCACAATACCAGCAAACGTGCTAAGTTCTAGCCAGTTCAGGATGCAGTGAGGGTGTGTCATGGGGATTTTCAGCTGCCTGGCGTTTCAGGCACAGCTTCTTTGAGGAAGTTCTATTTCAGCTGAGACAGGCTGCCATCTGCGCAGGGTTGTGTAACTGTCTTCACATCCCAACTGAAACACTTGGACATATTAATGTCTTAGAGCCTGGGTCCTCATGTGTAAACCGAGCACAATGCACACTTGGCAGAGACGTGCAAATGAGAGAGAATGCAAGTAAAGCATCTCTTAGGGCATCAGGCATAGAGTAAGCCCTAAGTGCATCCTGCTAGTCACAATTCTATACCCATGTAAGGCATCGAGGGAAAAGTGAAGGAGTTTGCCCAACAGCTAAAGATAAATTTACAGAGGGGAAATTTGGCAAAAGCTCCAAATTCAAGAGACAGTCACGCCCCGAGCTCAGGCTTGAGTTTCAGGCGCTGGATATCTGATACTTTAAGACTCTACCAAGTGCTGTTTTCAGGAGAAGCTGGTAGGGATTTTTGACGGCCCATCTCTTTCCAGCCGTCCGCAGGCCAACGCCCCGTCCGACTCCTCAGGTGAAGGTGAGACGCCTAGGACGCAGCTCTCCGGTCCGGGGACACACGGTCAATCAAGGGACAAGCAAGTGTTTATGAGCCAGGTAAGGCGGGATGGGCAGCAACGAATGCCCAGCTGGAAGTTTCCGTCGAGGGTCAGAGGACCTGGCGCCACCTGGACGAGGCCTCCGGCGGGAAAGGTGCCCCGGGTCGGGATGCCCGCGGGCGCTCGCGGTGCCCGGCTCCCGGGCGCTCGGCTCCGGGCCAGGTCCGCACCCTTCGAGTGCGTGCGGGTGATTTCGTAAGTGGGTGTGACCGGTCCCGCGGGGAAAGCGTGCAAGGAAGTGGGAGCGAGCGGGGGAGGGGCGGAGGGAGGGCGGCAGGGCCGCAGTGGGAGGGGTGAGGCGCGGGGAGAAAAGCGCGCGGCGGCGGGCGGGGAGGCGGCGCGAGCTCCGGGCCCCCGCGGCGAGGCGGCTCGGGCGGGCCGGCCAGGTGGCCCGCGATGCTGGGGCGCTGCAAGGCCGGGCTGCCGCCGCCGCCGCCGCTGCTGCTGCTGCTCCTGGGGCCGCTCGGCCCCTTCTCCCCGGGCGCCCTGGCGGGACCCGCGCAGGCCGAGGACTCCGTGGAGCTGGACTTCTCCACCGAGCGGCCGGTGCACCTGGTGAGCCCCGCGTTCCTGTCCTTCACCATCGACGCCAACCTGGCCACGGACCCGCGGTTCCTCACCATCCTGGGGTAAGCGCCGGCCTTCCGGACATCCACCCGGGAGCCGTCTCTCCCTCTGGCCCTGCCTCTCTCCCTCCCTGCTTCGCCGCCTCCCTCGCTCTCCGGGGCAGCTGCCCCCCAGACCGCTCTTTCGCGCCTCCGTTCATTCAGCAAGTGTTGCCTGAGCGCCAACTAAGGGCCAATATCACGGGGAAATTTGGAAAAGAAACTTCCCACCTGCCCCAGAAACCCGCCTGGAGGAGGGCCCCCAGGCAAGTGCACCTGGAGGCTGTGAGCCCTTGAGTCTGCAGCACAGTGTAGGGCAGGTAAGATTGTGGACCAGGCTTCCCTCTCCTAAACTGTTAGGAAGGTTTAAAAAAAAAAAAAATTAAAAAGTCAGATGGAAAAGGTCTCAAAGGAAAATAAGTGTGTGTGTATAAACTATACTTTTATGTATTTTAGAATAAACTTGTATTTTTAAAAGATTTTATTTATTTATTCCCAGAGACAGACACAGGCAGAGGGAGAAGCAGGCTCTCTGCAGGGAGCGCAATGCAGGACTCGATCTCACCACCTGAGCCAAAGGCAGATGCTCAACCGCTGAGCCACCCAGGTGTCCCTAGAATAAACTTTTAAGGAGTAGTTTTAGGCACAATGTAGAGATTTCCAGTGTTATACTATTTTTTTAATCTAAATATTAAATAAGTGAGATTTAGGAAACTATTGCAGTGACTTACAGAGTCTTAATAAAAAGATTATTTTTTCCGGAAGATATTTTTACCGATGCAAAATCAGCCATAATTTTTTTTTCTCACCTGAGAGAGACAAACTGGTGCTTGTTCGCTGGCTTTTGCCCCATGAATGCAGGCTGATCCCAGGACAGGGAACTTCAGGGACAGTCCCAGGTCATCTAGGTCACTCATCTAGGTCATGAGAGTCTCCAGGGAGGGCCACACCTCAACCAGTCCAAACAGCTGGGAATCTTCTCATTCCCAAACACCTAGATGCTGTCCTGCCTGTGCCCATGCTTTCAGCTGCCATTGCTAATTTTGATCAGTTATTCTGTAAAGAAAAGCAGGTTAATAGCCTAATGGTGAAGAGACTGGCAGTCAGACCACACTGGCTTCATTCCCAACTTCTACCGAAGATGGGTGGCTTGGTTGGTACAGGTTGCTTGGCAACTCCAAGCCTCGATTCCTGTACCTGTAGAATAGAACCTTCTAAAGCCTTTTTGTAGGACCATTATGAGGATTTCATGGTAGTAAATAAGTAGGTAGCACAGTGTTTGACACAAAGTGTTTAAAATTTAAACTCATTGCTTCTTCCTGGAAAATAAGGAGTATTTGCCAACCATTCACCAGTAGTCTGAGTGTTTCTTTTGATCATAGTTAACCTCCATCTTTCCCTGTGGCAGGAGAGGGAGAATTTCCTGGTGGAGAGGAATCCCCACTTTTTTGCCCTTTCCTCTTGGGGATAGAAAGCTGATACCACATAGCAGGTGGGTGGGAGACAGAAAGATTATTCTGGAGAAACACTGAACTATGGGCTCCATATCTGAGGACCCCAGGCCTTGCTTCAGAGGTGGGGTGGGAGGCTGAGAGGGGAAGAGAAGATGTGAGGTGCCTTGTTGAACACAGAAGCACTAACTGAACCACTTAGTAAAATGTGAGAACTCAGGTCCTCTTCTGCCACTGCAACTACTGTGCATCCCACCCTTCCCCAAGAAAGGGCATCTGGGGATATTTCCTGGAGAAACAGATCCAAAAGAAGAAAACCTACAGTGGGGCGCCTGGTTGGCTCAGTGGTTGAGCGTCTGCCTTTGGCTTAAGGTGTGATCCCAGAGTCCTGGGATCGAGTCCACAGCAGGCTCCCCGCAAGGAGCCTGCTTCTCCTTCTGCCTATGTCTCTGCCTCTCTCTGTGTCTCTCATGAATAAATAAATAAATTTTTAGAAAAATAAATAAATAAGTAATAAGTAAAAAAAAATAAAGTTTCAGGAAGAAACTTAAAAAAAAAAACAAAAACCTACAGCACAACTTTTGGGATCCAGGCCTGATGCCCTGCAGTCAAGCTAACCAATTGACTAGCACCGTCCTCATCTCTTTGCCCCCAACACACACAGAACTTCTGGTCTGCAATTCAGCAAGGGTGATACCTTTGTCTCTTCATTTCCCATAGCACTCTTTCTGCCTGGCTGGTCCCCACCTCTTGGTTAAAGGCTGGAGGATGATAATGAAAACCAAGAGTGTAGTATGCAATAGATAAAATTATTTCTTTGATTTACAAAACTCAGTGTTCATATGGGCTTTTCTTCAGGGCTGGCTCCCACCCACTCCAGTCCACTCCCTGGGCAGAGGCTGTCTTTAAGGCCTGCTCAGCAGGGGCATCTGCAACCACTTCGTACTATTCCCAGCTGCCACTTACAAGACTGAAGTTCCAATAGGAGCTCCCTCTCACTGTCCGCTAAGACCTAGCTTCTGAATTAGGGTCTGAGAGTCCATCTCTCCAGGATGGTTAGCACTGTGCCCCAAGTGACCTGGCCATCTCAGATGGCAACACTAAGCTTAATACCTGTGAGGTGGGTGTTATTCTTGTACAGTTCCTCAAAAGTGAAGATGCTCGGGCAAAGGTGGCAAGAGCTGAGCAGATAAAAGCTGAAGGAGAGGGAGAAAAAGAAGAGGGTAATAGAAATAGCTGGTACTAAGTGAGCCTTTGGCTTGTCACGCCCTGTTTGTAGCATCTTCCAGGTATTGATCCATTTGGTCCTCACTACAAGACTATGAGGACAGGACTATTATTATCTCCATTTTTTAAAAAAGGTTTTATTTATTTATTCATGAGATACACACAAAGAGAGGCAGAAACACAGGCAGAGAAAAAAGCAGGGAGCCTGATGCAGGACGCGATCCCAGGACCTGAGCCAAAGGCAGACGTTCAACCACTGAGCCACCCAGGTGCCCTGTATCTCCATTTCTATGAAATAAAGGAATTGAAGTTTAGGGAGACTCAAGAAATGACCCCTAGTCAATCAGCTGTTCATGAAGGAGCAGAGTCTGAGCCCAGATACTAATTGCAGGGACAAGAGTGCACAAAAATAAAGTCTGCAGCATATGTGTGTATATATGTGTATTGTGTATGTGTACATGTATATGTATATATTTATATTTTAATTATTTAAATTTAATTCAGTTAACATATAGTGCATTATTAGTTTTGAGGGTAGAATTCAGTGATTCATCAGTTGCATATAACATCCAGTGCTCAGTAACCACGAGCCCTCATGAATGCCCATCACCCGGTTACCCCGTCCCCCACTTGCTGCCTCTCCAGCAACCCTCAGTTATCTTCCTAGAGGTCAGCATCTCTAACAGTTTGCCTCCCTCTCTATTTTCATCTTGTTTTAGTTTTCCTTCCTTTCCTCTATGTTCATCTGTTTTGTTTCTTAAAAGCAGTTTATATTTTTTCAAGGCAGTAGAGTAGGGTATAGAGGAAAAAGATTGTCCAGAAACAAATCGAGAAGATTGATGTAATGAAAAGAAGCACTGACCTGAGAGTAGGAGAATCAGGGTCCAGTCTTCTGAGGCGCTTCAACAGAAGCCCAAGTGAATTGAATCCGATGGCATGGTTCTGGTTTCCCATGATGCAAACAGATGTGGTTTTTCTTTTTTCATATTTGCAATTAGAGAACATAGAGTACACAGAACTTAAAATGCCAGTGATAGAACACTCTAGAATTGGAAAGGAGCATCTTTTCAGTTTGCCTTCTTCCCAAAGGTAACTAATCAACAACCCAATCAAAAACTTTCTAAGCCTGACTATGTGCAAGCTCTAAAAAGGCACTTGTCCTCACAGATGGGAGCGTCAAGACCACTGCTCAGTAGAAATACAATGTGAGCTTCATAAGCAAACTACATATGCAACTTACAATTTTCTAGTAGCCATGTTAAAAAAAAAGGTAAAACCACCCGAGTGGCTCAGTCAGTTAAGCTCTCTTCATTTTTTTTAATTGAAGTTCGATTTGCCAACATATACTATAACACCCAGGGCCCATCCCATCAAGTGCCCTCCTCAGTGCCCGTCACCCAGTAACCCCAACCCCCCACCCACACTGCCCCTTACACAACCTTTGTCTTTTCATTTCATGTCGCAACCTTTGTTCATTTCCCAGCTTCCTCAAAGAGTAAAAAATAGAGCTACCTTATACCCAGCAATTGCACTACTGGGTATTTACCCCAAAGCTCTCTTCATTTTGGCTCAGGCAGGGACTTGAGATGGGGCCCCATGTTGGGCTCCCCACTGGGCGCGGAGCCTGCTTAATTAAGATTTTTATCTCTCCGTCTCCCTCTGCCCCCTATCCTCTGCTCATACTCACTCTCTATATAAAAAAAAAAAGTTTAAAAAGTGAAGTTAATTTTTAAAATATATTTTATTTAACACAAAATATCAAAGTATTGGCATGTCAACATGTAATCAATATAAAAATATTAATGAGATATTTTACATTCTTTTTCAAACTACATCTTCAAAATCTGGTGTATATTTCATACCCATAATATATCTCAATTCACACTAGCCACATTTCAAGTCCCAGCCACATGTGGCTAATGGTTACCTTCTGGGCAGTGAAGTCCACACTTCAAACAAGACACATACACATACACGCACACATGCACACACACACACACACACACACAGTTCTGTAATACAAGGTAAAAAAAAAAAATGGAGCATCGGGTCAGTGCTAGAGACCCCAACTACTCCAGAGCAGACATAGCAGTGCTGAACAGCAACAGCAGTAATCGTGCAGTCGTGCTTGCTTTTTATAAGGGTTTGCTTATTTTTTTTCAACAACGTTCATTCCTTTTTGCCAACTCATTAGATAGTTATTAATAATGACTTTTGATAATCTGATCTCTGCATCTTCATGGACAAAATTGCTTTTCATATTCAGAAAATCACTTATGATCAACGTCAAATGCACATTTTGAAAGCCAATATTGCAAATAACCACAGGCCCTCTATGTGCCTGTT